GAGTGGGATAGACTGAAGGTCAAATTTTGGTTCCCATGGACTTGATTTAATTTTCTTCAACTTCAGTTTGAACTTGCATATGAGTAGTAAGAGTACTTACAAATTCTAAAAAGCCACATAATTAATAATACCCATAGAGAGAGTACTATGCTGAGTAAATGATCTCAGTCTTATAAGACAAATACTGCATTAAACCATTATTGTAAAAATAGAAGGGTAACTAGTAATATGAGCATAAAAGTTTAAAAGGGAAAGAGGCAAGGGAAAAGACTGAGGGGAGAAATCACTAGGCATGGGAGTGGTGGTGAAAGAATGGGAGAGAGCCAGTTTAGACCTAAAAAGATGGGGTAATGGTAGATATAGATCATGTATCATAGTGAATGTTAGATGGATCTTGGTTGAAAGCAGGGAGTACCAGAGGAATGTCTATCTGTGTTTCATTGATTATGCAAAGGTGTTTTAATGTGTGGAGCACAACAAACTGTGGCTAACTCTGAGAAGAATGGGAATCCCAAAACACTTGATCGTGCTAATGCGAAACCTATACTTGGTCTAGGAGGCAGTCAGAACAGAGCAAGGAAACACTGCATGATTCAGAAATGGGAAGGGTGTACGCCAGGGATGTGTCCTATCTCCATAGCTTTTCAATCTTTATATAGAATAGATTATCTGGGAGACTGGGCTCTATGAGGAGAAATTCAGCATCAGGAGGAAATCTCATCAACAGTCTCTGTTATGCACATGACACAACCCTTCTTACTGAAACTAAGGAGGACCTGAAGCGCTTGTTGCAGAAGGTCAGGGACTGCAGTCTTCAGTATGGACTGAGGCTCAATATCAAGAAAACAAAGATTCTCATCACTGCGTAAATTGGCAGCATCATGAGAGATGGTAAAGAGATTGAGATTTTTCACAGCTTTAGTTTGCTTGGCTCCAAAATCAACACTCTTGGCACCAGCAGCCAGGAAATTAAAAGATATATTGTATGTATGTGAAATCTGGACAACAAAAAGGAAGGTTGAACAATGAATGAATGCATTTTAATGATAGTATTAATAAAGAATATTTTGTATACCACAAAATGTAAAAAGCACAAATATACCAGGTGAAGTACAGCTGGAACACTCCTTAGAAATAAGGGTGTAAGATTTGTTGCACCACTTAGGTCATGTTATCAGGATTGACCAGTGCCTGGTAAAGTGGAGGATCAGATAAAAGTAAGACCTCAGTGAGATGGATTGCTACACAGCTGCAATCATGAACTTGAACCAGGTCATGTTTGTGAGGATGGCAAGGATAAGGTCTCCTGTTGTATGTGTCGTCTCTGAATCCAAGCCAAGGGTTAGGGTTATGGCACCTAAAATAAAACTTCTTCTTCCATACGTATTTTATAGTAAGTGTGAAGTTTCTTAGAAGTCACAGCTTATGTTTTACTGTTATTACATTAAATTTAGAAATAGTTCGTGCAATATTTATCTTGTGATATCTAAAAATATGATATATCCACTTTGCTGACCATCTATGATGTCTGTAATTGGAGTTTCAACGTTTTCTCCAGAAAGGCCTTATGTATTTCTAGTCAATTCCTGTATATTTTTAAGATCTTGGATTTTTGTTTTCTCTACATATCCTACCTGGTTATTTTTTTATGTAAAGAAACTAATTTTTCTGATTTTTCTAAGTTCATCTTGTATCCGAGGACCTTATAAATAAATATTAATATTAATTTTTTAAAAAAAAGGAAATTAAAAGATATTGTGATTTGAAAGTCTGTGGTTAGAGACCTCTCTAAAGTACTGAAGAGCAACGATGTCAGGCTAGAGAGTAAGGTGTACTTGATACAGGCCATGATCTTTGCAATCACTTGCCATGCATCAGAGAGCTTGACAATGACTAGGGATGATAGAAGGAGAATTGATGCCTTTGAGCTGTGGTGTTGGAAAAGAGTGTTGAATATACCATAGACTGCTAAGAGAATCAACAGGTTTTTCCTGGAAAGGGTGAAGCCAGGCTGCTCCTTGGAGGCAAGGATTCTGAGGCTTCATCTGACATACTTTGGACATGTTTCAAGGAGGGACGTCATGCTTGGGAGGGTGGAGGGACAGGGCAGAAGAGGAAGACCCTCAATGAGATGGATTGATTCAGTGACTGGGGTAATGGGGTTAGGCGTGTCAGAGACAATGATATGGGCATAGGATAGAGCAGGGTTTAGGGCTGTTGTACATAGGGTTGCAATGAGTCAAAAGCGACTCAAGGGCATATAACAACAACAACAATGTATGTAACAATGTGAATGAAGGAATGAATGAAACCCAATGTCTATGAATCTTATATGAAAACCAATATAAAATGAAATTTTTTAAATCTCTGCCAAAAAACCCACAAAACAGGACTGACTGTGACAGGCAAGGAACTTTTCACATATTAACTCATCTAATCCTTGGACAAACTGCATGATGAAAATGCTATTAATATTCTACTATTTTCTGGAGAGGAAATTGACCGTGGAAAGGAGAGGGTCAAGACTTTACCCACAGCCACACGACAAATAAGTAGCGGAGCTAGAATTCAAATAGACCTAATTTGACTCCTCTGTCCATCCTCTTAACTCGTATTCTTTCTTGCCTCTTAGTGGGCAAATGAGTGATCACCTTATTATTTTACTTGTAATTATTTGTACATTTATGCCACTTTGGGGGGAAAATCAGTCCCCAAGTAAGTCAGTGCTTATACTAGAGCCTGAGGAGAGTGTTTGGAAGAACTGTGAACTTTGAGACATGAGACCTGGCTCTCAGCCCCAACACTGACCTCACTTGCTGTGCAACCTTGGGTAAGTATCTTGGCCTCTCTGGGCCTCGGGTTCCATCTTGAAAATTAGGATATTGGATCAGTTGTTCTTGGAAGTCTCTGGAAGCTCTAACTCTAGTCATAAATCCAAGGTTCTCTTCTTGCCTAGACCCCCACAGATGGTCTAGAGCAGGTTGGGTACACCATGTGAGGAGGAAAGGGTCTTTCAGGCACTGTGGTGAACAACTGTTGTCAGAAACCAGACTAGAGACCTAGTTCTTTCCTTAGCGACCAAGAGCTACCTCATGACATTCCTACCAGGCTGATCCATGAGAGTGTTTCAGTCTGAGTCATCACTCAGGGCTACCCCACACAAAGTTCCTTCGTTTCCCCCCCCGCCTCCCAGCTGGCTCCCCTCCCCCTCAGTAAATCTTCCACTGCTCTCTGCAGGAAGGAAACCCCTTTGGCCCGTTCTGGGACCAGTTCGACGTGAGTTTCAACAGGTCTGAGCTTTTTGCTGGCATATCCTTCAGCGCCTCCTACAAGGACCAGTGGATCCAGAGGTACTTGGAGGGGAGAGAATGCTGGGGTTGCGGGAGGGGCGTGAGGCTGGTGACAGGCCTGCTGTGTGTGTCCAGCACCTCCGTTGTCCTCCTCCCTGGCCCTGCCTTGATGGGTGAGACCAAAGGTACCAGCGCTGTCTGCTGAACTTGGGATCCTGTGTGATCTTCTCCCACCTCAGCACCTGACACAGTGGGATGTAGACCTGCCACAGGATTGAGCAAGAGTTTATTGACTGATAAGGATGTCATAAAAAGAACAGCGTGCAGTCACATGAGTCTCCATTTCCTTCTCTAGGCGTGAGAATCAGTCCCTTACTACCTTCCTGTTCCCAAGGTGAAAATTGGAAGCAGCTTCTAGAGATGCACAACTTCAGGTGCTGACTGAGAAATGATGTCATCCTGATAATTGTGGGATGTGCTTTATTAATTGTGCTCCAGTAGGCCATATTAAAAAAGAGAAAAATAGGTTAGCAGGGCATAAGCACAGCCATGAAGTATTTATAGTGCGTCTGTCATATGAGACACTATATCCAAGGGCCAAAGGTGGATAAAAATGAGGAAGCCCAAGCCCGAGCCTTCAGGGAGCTATAAGTTAGTAATAATGGTGAGAGCTAGTGTGATGCACTTGACCTTGGTTCTAGAGCATGAATATAGGAGGAAATAGCACAGGTTTAGAGATCAGACTTGGGCTCTGCTCTAGCCTGGAAGCTGTGGGGAACATAGGCGTTTCTTTGTGATAAGTGTGTAACATAGCACTTGACACTTAGTGAGCCAGGGTAGAGACTGATGTAGAGAAACAAGGCCAGGTTCCATCGTAAGACAATCCTGAACTCTGAGCCGGTGCTGCCTCCTCCTGTCTGGCCCACCCTGTGCAGGTAACCCCAGCTCACCAGCCCGAGTTTCCCCTTTGGTGTGATGCCCCTGCCTCGTAACACATACCCTCCATGGCATGTCGTAATTGGCCACCAGTGTTAACTGTCGCTGTAATTATTCCCACTGTTATTATTTCATGTTGGGTAGTTTCAATTTCTGTTTCACAGGTACATACGCTAAGTTCAGTGAGGTAAAGTAACTACCTTGCCTGAGGTCATATCACTATTGAGGGGGCAGCTGGGATACCAAGGGAGTGTTTAAGAAGAGCTGAGATTTGTTTTTACTTCTAGAAATAAATTCTGCTGGAGACCCTCTGAAGCATGATTCCTCTTAGGGACACCTTGAGTTGAGTTTGACTCCATGGCAACTGTGCCAAACACTGTTCAGAGTCTTTTCCAGTATGAATTGCTTAATCCTCCCAGAAGTCTATGGGCGAGGTGGAGTTATCCTTTGTGTCTTACACGAGGACAAGGAAGCAAAAAGGAGTGATGTCACTTGCCCAGGGTCATGTAGTTTTAAGATAGCAGAGCCAGGATTTGAACTCTGGCACTCTGACTCCCCAGTACCCTTTCCTAATCACCATTAAGAAAATAACTGTACGTTAATAGCAGCCAGTTCACTTCCTACTAAGAGGGCCCTGGTGGAATGGTCCATAGAGAGTTGTGCTGCTAGCCCAAAGGCCACACTTTGCTAGTGGTTCGAATCCTGCAGCCCCTGTGAGAGAGAAATATGGGCAGTTCCTGCATGAGTTTCAGTCTTGGAAGCGCACTCGAGAGTCAGCTTTGAGTTGGCGCCAAATTGACGCCACTGATAGAAAATGTGATTATTTCCATTTGAGACCTGCCTTCAGAACTCACTGAGGAGCTGGTTGCCTATCCCCCTCGTTACTGATTCCAGATAGCACACTCATCTGATCTTCTCCTCGATTCTCCCATTCAGCTCTGAATGACTTGGAGCTATTGCTAAAGATTGACCTGCCCTCAAAGGGTGAGTTTGTCCCTATTGACACTATTCCAAAGGTGGGGAGAATACATGCATGAGTGCGCGTGTGCACACACACACACACAGAGAGAAACATGCATGCGTGTACATGCAGCCAGCTCTAATTGAAGTTCCAAAAGCAAGGTTCCAGAAAAAAAAACACCTAAAAAACCAATAAACAAAAATGCAAGGTTCCAGGAAGCCTGAAAAAGCACGTAATCCTTGCCAGAAGAGAAAGAACAGGGCGATATGGATGCACGCTGTGGGAAATGTTGATGAGACTTTTGTTTTGTTGTCCCATGGTGTCGTTAGGTGACATCTAGTCAAGAATGACTCCTGGCAACCCTGTGATCAACAGATCTGAACCCGGCCCTCTCCTGCACCATCCTCATCGTCTCTGCTCCACTAGAGCCCATGTTACTATCACTGTGTCACTCTGTCTCCTTGACAGTCTTCCCTTCCTTCGCCAACACTCCACAGTGCCTTTCTCCAAGCACCGGTCCCCTCCTGACAACATGCCCCAAAGTATGTGAGACGAAGGTTCACCATCCTTCCCCCGAAGGAGCATCCTGGCTGCACCCTCTCCGGGGCATGCTTGTTTTTTCTCTTGGCAGTCCACAGGATATTTAGTCTTCTACAGCACCACAACTCAAAGGCATCCTTGATTCTTGTGTAGATTCAGGGAATATTAGGAATTACTTTAGGGCTTGAGGAAGTTTGTTCCTTACAGCTGAATTTTGGGGATGAAAAGGCAAGCAGGGAAGGTGAGGCCGTTGTTGGCTATTTGTGGATTGTCAGGCCATCTGGGCAGCTTCTTGCCATTACCCCTTCCTTCCTTCCTTCAATCCATATTAAAGGAGCACACCTCAGTGTTAAGTACTGGATTGGATGGTGAGGATTCTAGTATGGATGAGGAGGATAAAGCCTTTGCCTTTATGGGGCTCGTAGTCTAATGGGGGGATAGTGTATAAACTGGTACATAAGATAGTTCCAGTGAGGCATAAGTGCTATAGAGATGTAAGCAAGCAATATGTAACTGGCTAGGCCAAGACCAGAACAGGCTTGAAGGATGAGAAGAAGCCAACCAGACAAGGAGCTGGCTCTTCAAGGTGGAGTTGTTTGGATGGAGTTATCTGTAAGGTCTGTATGAACAGGGGTGAGGCCAGGGGGCTTATGTGGTATGCTGAAGGGGGAGAGTAGTAGGATAATCCTGGTATCTGATACCATGTAACAGACCACTCCAAAACTTAGGGGTTCTGTAATCCTTTATTACTTCTATGGGTTGGCTTGGCTCACTTGAGTAGAATCAGCTGTCGGGTGTGGGTACTGTTGGCTGGGCCTGGAGTCATCCTTTATGATCGCACAACCGAGAGGGCGCGCTCACGGCTGGCAGGTGATCTGGCTTGTCTGGGAGCTCAGTGTTTGTCCACCTGATCCCTCCATGTGGCTTGGGTGTCCTCCAGCATGGCAGCTGGGCTCTGAGAGGGCGCATCCAGAGAGAGAAAGTTCCAAGAGGCAAGAACGGAGGCTTCTGCGTATTTGTCACTCCTGCCAAATGTTACTAGAAGGAAGCAGAGACCCCCATTGAGTAGAAGGAGATTCAAAGAGTTGATGACTGTCTGGGCCTTGTCAGGCAGGTGGTGAGTTTGGGGAGGTGAAGCAGTGGGGAGGCTGTGCAATGCTTTGCAGGTCTTGGTACAACCTTCTGACAGCCTGCGAATGGTTTACAGGGGCAAGTCTAAGAGACATATATTTTGGACACTTCCCACCACCCCTTTTTAAAAAATTGATTTGCTTACGATCATTCAGATACAGTTGCATTTCATTTGTGTACATTGTATTTTATACAATCATGTATATACACTGTGGTGAGTTTATTTTTAAAATCCTGTTTAAAGATGGCAGCTATTTGCTTGCTGAAGAAAATTGTCCTTTGGGGCAGGGCGAAGGACAGAATGAAATTGAAAAGAAGTAAAGCTCTTCTCTGGCCTACGGTGGGACAAAGCAGATGGTCCCCCTCTCCGGCTTCAGTGCTCCCGCTGTAAGATGAAGGGGTGAATGAGATCAGTGATTTTCACACTGTTCCTTGGAGTTTTGAAGAAGTGTTAGTGGGCCTTCGTGGGGGCAGAGATGAGGGGCCAAGTTGGAGAACCTTGGTTCCTCCCTCCCTACCATCTTCTACCCATAACCCTCTTATATATCAGGTGCCAATTAAAGAACTTTCTAAACCACAGGTGTAAGTAGATCAGCTTAAACTAGGCTACATGTAGCAGGAAAGAAAAAAAACAGCCCCAAAATAACAGCCAGTTAACAGGATAGAAATTTACTGTTTTGTTTTGTTTTTTCATTTTACACCGGTTTATTTATAAAGTTTGAATACATTGTTTTTCTCAAAAGATCCTTCCCATTTCCTTCAACCCACCATCACACCCCCCCATATAATTGTCTGGGGGTAGCTCTGTGATGTCAGGAAGTAGTCCCCCACCTTTCAGCTCAGCCATCCCAGCACCGACAATCTCCTCGAGGTGACATCATGAACCCAGATGGCGGATGGAGTTCTAGACATCACATCTGTCTTTTCCCCAGGCAACTGGTACACCCGCCCCTGCCTTTGGAAGTTCCATATAGCCCTTCTGTTTACATCTCGTTCCCCAATATTTAGATACATACCCTTAGCTATACCTTGCTGCAGGGAGTACTGAGAAGAGTCTTTATTCTGGGCTGCCGTGAACCTAGCTGAAAATCAGGTTCTGTGAGAAGATGAGGAGGGCTGATTTTTCAAGGAGCGCTGGTGGCCTCGTGCTAAGGAGTTGTGCTGCCAACCCAAAGGCATGTAGTTCAAATCCACAGGGGCTCCTCAGGACAAAGATGGGCAGTTAACCTCCCATGTGATTTACAGCCTTTGAATCTACTGGAGGGTCAGCTCCGAGTTGGTTCCAACTCAATGGCACATAATAACAAGTGATTCTTGAGTATTTTTCTAGCTCAGCTGGTTCTGAGTCAGTGAGTACCCTGGTGAACATTTAATTGAGTAGATGTTTATTGCATTTGTGCTTGTTGGAAGGTTATCAGGTTGACTCATTCTCAGGGTATGAAGTGACAGTTATTTGAGCCCATCCATGCACTATCCCAACTAATAAGTTCTG